GCATCTGTATCTTGTGTGACTTAGTCATGTATTTGTGAAGCAAAATTGATGTTTTGAAATATTTAGACAAACCCAAATACACTCCTTGGGGTCTACTGAGCTTAATGTTCTCAGTGGTCATGAAGGATCCCACTAAGTTTTTATTAAGGTTTCCAGAATCCTTGAGAAGTATCTCAAAATTTTAAATAGGACTGGGCCCCAGAAAGACCCAGTTCCTGCAGACTTCCCAAGGTCCACAAGAAGTGAACATCTTAGCGGCCCCCTAGGGGTGCCTTGGGTTAAGCAGAGGATTTGTGTAGGGAGGGGTAGAGTGGATAGCAAAACAGGACGCTTCCCCCACCTCGTCCAGTTTTAAAATGTCTTCTACACACTGTTGATCTAACATCTGGCAGAACTGTGTTTTGAGAATTTTCTAACTGCGAAGAATTTTATAATGGTGTGTTAATTTTCAAACAGCTTGAGTGTAGACCATGCTACCATGTCCTAAAAGTTCCATAGTGCACTTTGATCTACTGCTTATAGTGCATAGCAGTAGGGTCCCCACAGCCATTTAGTGCTCATGATGGTAGAGAACTGTAGATTTACACCTGGCTTTCCATGCACTAAATTGCCATATAGTTATATCCTAATTAACTTTCATGTTGGTAGTAACATCCCCATTCATGGGAACAAAGGACTACAGAAATTGCCATAATAGATCAGGCTAGTGGTCCATCTAGTCCAGTATCTTATTACTGTCAGCACCAGCCGTACTATTTCTGTCAACACCAGTTATTTCATAATGGACGATTATGGAATAACTTGCCAGGTGATGATTAGGCAAAGTCATTGACCACATTTCTTTCTTATTCTTGTCAATTAGTGTGTGGCTTTCTCTTTTTTTTCGGTTTAACCCTAATTTTGAAATTTGAGTTAAGAGATAAAATCTTGGGGAGAGAAAGGGGGCTTGGGAAGGAATTGTTTGTGGAATGGGGGATCTTGGAGGAGGGTGGGTTAATTTTAAAATCTGACTCTTAAATAATCAGTTATTTTTTTGTTAATTTTTATGTGTTACCAAATGTAGCCAAAATGAATTCTGGAAGCATGCTTCATAATATCTGACTGAGACTGATGAAAAGTCATTAGTATTGCAATGCAGGTTGCAAAAATTCTCATGCTGATTTCTATTGTTTTGGTTCAATGTTTTTTTTGTTTATTTGTGTTATTAAGTGAAGAATTAATGCTTAGGACCAAAATTCTTTGATCTTTACATGGGAAAAGAGAACCAGCCACCATCAGCTTCCCCACAAAATCACTGGTACCGCAAAACCTAATGCCTGGCACTACCTCCTGTATCTTTTGTTTCTGAATGATGGAGATAATTGCACACTGAATCTTGGGACTGGGATTTGGAGAGGCCATTTCCTCACTTCATTTATATTCAAGAAAAAAAAAAACAAAAAAATTGCAATTCACTGTGGGTAAAAGCCCATGCTCTCAACTGAGACTTAAATGGTGCACATGCCTTGTACTCTCCCTCTGCACAAGGATGAATTTCACCTGTCTAATTTTAATCTGCTCTACTTGATCACCTCAAGAGAGGGTGCTTTAGCGCCAATGAAAATGTGCTTCTGAAGAAAATGACTGCAGCTGGAATAAATAACATACTTGTAATGGTCAGTAAGCAGAGCTAATTTGTATTCAATGAAGCTTAACATTAAAGCTCAATTTTCAGAATCATAAAAAGATTTAGACTTCCCTTGAAATATATGTCAATGGAAAGCTGTGAGCCTGCTGAACTTCAGGAGCTCCTACAGAGGTGGCATATGGCTTATTCTTGATACTCCCTGGGTGCACCATCCACTTCTTTTTTTATGCCTGTAGGCTGAGAGTTTCAAAGCTGCCTGGTGGATTTAATTTTAATGGGAACTGGGCATCCAAATCCCTCAGGTGGCTTTGAAAAATCTCATTGAAGTAAAACTTGTGTTTGTTGGCTGGATATCTCAACATAGATAGAGGTCAAATGCTGTTCACCTTGCCCATGTGAGAGAAGCCCCTTTGACTTTGAAAGGGACTACTGACATAAGGCAAGCAGGAGGCAGGTGTTGTCACTAAGTGAGAAGGTCACTGTGTTGTCTTGCAGTTGTCACTTGTGTGGTGCAACAGACTGATCAGATGAAGCAAGATATAAAAATTAACTGCTGACAGCTGATGGAAAAGAGAATAATCATTTCCTTTTTAAGACTTCTAATTTTGTTCTGTCATTTTTTTTCACATTTAGGAGTCAGTGAGATGGTTAAGAAAAAATAAGAGGCTGTCCAAACTTCACTTGCATTGATTTTAAAGATTAGGAATGTTGGAGGGAAAAAGCTCTGGGACGAACTTTCCATGAAACTCTGAAGCTCCATCTATAGAGGAGAATGATTGCCCCAGATCAATTCAGTGCATTCACAGATTGTAAGGCCAGAAGGAACATTCTGATCACCTAGTCTGGCCTCCCGTATAACAGAGGCCATAGGACTTCCCTGAATTAATTGGTGTTTGAACTAGAGTATGAGTCTTAGGGGGAAAAAAATCTACTCTGGATTTACAAATTGGATGCATTTCACTTTGCAAATTCCACTTGTGGTGAACATCTGGGACATTAGTAAAGTTGTCCTGGAGGAGGTGGGAATGGGTTTAAAATAAGAGGGCTGCTATTTTTTCTTCTCTGCAACCTCCCACACCTTCTACCTTTGCTGGGTCTAAGCTGGTTTGTCAGTGGATGCTAGGTTGCATTATATGCTGTTTTCTAATCCTATGAATTCTAAACCCTCCCTAGGATGGGAATGATACATAAGGGGTTGTTCTGATTTGTGGAAGCTCCAAAATATACTAGCTTTGAATAGAGTAGCTTGGCCACAGCTCAACAAAATAAGAGCCTGATGTGAGAACCATCTTAAGCTGTTTATTCTGTAAACCCATAAAGAGGATCACAGAAAAGGACTTGAGGAACAACCAAAGAAAGGAATAGGACAAAAAAGGATGATTTGTTTGGGTGGAGAGGCTGGGGAAAGGCTGTAAGAAAACAAGAAGGCCCTAAGAGAGCAAAGTTCAAATAAATTTGTATAGTTTCCAACTAAGCCTGGAGAAATTCAGAGGCTTATCAAAACTGAAATTACAACTTTGCCTTCCAGTATTTGTAAAATGTTTGTTTGTGGTTTTTAAAGACGTGTGGAAATAAATTTGCTTTAAAGACTGTAATAATTTTTCTAAATGGATAATATAGGAGGCCATACTCTTCAGGGAATGGGATATAAGTAGCTTACTGGTTTAGCATTTAACAGAGAGATAGAAAAGACCTCTTGGGTCATCTAGTCCATTCCCAACAATGCAAGGTTATTCTCTATAGCACATTTCCTGGTGCACTCTACAATTTAGTTTTAAATGTGCAATGCGGCTAGGTACATTTCCCACACCTATAACACACTTCATTCTTTGGGAATCATTTCTGATATTTAGCCTCTGCCTTTCCCCATTCTTAATTTAGCACATTTCCTCCTAATTAAATTTGTTGGAGATCCCTAAAAAATTCTTCTCTCTCTGATTATTACTTTCATGGTAGTCATGCTGAGATGAAGGCCCCATTTTACACATAGATAGTAAGACAGATTTCCTGCTGCAAAGAATTTACAGTCTAAATAGACAAGAGAGAAGTATAACTGTGCCTATTTTACAGATAGGAAACTGAGTCACAGAGGAATTACATGACTTGTCTAAAGCCTCACAGGCAGTCTGTGATAGAGCTGGAAATTGAACCAAATTCTCTTAAGTCCCATGCAATGATCTTAACCACATGGCCATTTCCCCATCTCTCCTAGCATTTATAATGTTCAGTAATTTGTTGACTGTTTTCACATCCCTCCATTAGCCAAGAAATGCATACTGTCTAAATCAACAACTGGCATAAATGGGCACAGCATCATTGAAATCATTGGCACTATGCTCAGGTACAGCAGCTGAAGATTTGACCCATTGTCTTTAGCTTTCATTCTTTCCTCCTAAGTCAGTCCTTCCAGCCCCCTAATCATTGATAAAATATCCATTAGAGACATTAGAATCATACAGGGACTGTTACTTCTCTAATGTATGATATGCTGTCTTTGTATTTGCAGTCTAAAATTGCACTGGACTATTTTAGGACCATAACACATTGTGAAATCATGTCTGTTTGCTGTCCACTATCAACCTCAGCTCACTTCTTTCCAAGATTTGCTTCCAACTAAATATCTATGTGTTGGATTATATTTTTGGAGATGTATTTAGTTGCTTCTTTATCAAGTCAAATATATCACTTTATTTTTCTGCCCATGTTTCTAATCTCTCGAAATTCCATTGTGTTATTTCTCTGTCCTTACTGTTAATGGAAGATACATTTAGATCAAATAAAAAAAATATATATATTTTTCCACATAGTGTGTACACAGACTATGGAATTTACTGTCAGAGAAGATTATAAAGTCAAATGCATATGTGTATTTGGATTTACAAAAGAGCAGGATATTTCTATGATTTGTTTTATCACTGATACTTGTGCATGTTAAGAGAAGGGTAATTAAGTTTCATGGTTAAAAATATAAGCAGATCATCTCAGCTGTTAGGTTGGAATCTTTTCTACGGTGTATTGCACTAAACATTGGCTGCGTTCATTGACACCACCACCCCTTCCTTTGAAGCATGATGTTATTGAATATGGCCAGAGGCAAGATATTGAACTCAGTGGACCAATGTTTTTTTCCAATGGCAAATACTATGTTTCTATGTAAACAATATATTATTGGGGATCTCAAAATTTTTCCCCATAGAATGGTAGAGATAGAAATGTTGCAGCAAAGCATGCATAATGCTGCTTGGTGAATGACTAAATCTGAAAATCAGTAAGCCTTTTATTAGTTGGACTAAAAACTAGGCTGTTCATTCACCAAAATGGAAAATTGTGACTGTTTTTCACAGGGATAACGTTTTGTTTTTTTTCTTTATAGAAGCATGGAAGATAGAGATGGGATAACCCATTTGAAGGATCCATTCCATCTCTTTGCCAATGCAAGTCTGTTCCTCACAGTACTGGTGAGTTTTATAGTGCTTTGTCAAGTTTCAAGTTTTGAATGTCACAAGATAAAGAGTTTCTGCCATTTCCCAAGAGAGAGACTTCCAAAATTTAATAGATTCTATGTCAGGAAGGTTTTCCTGACAGTCATCCTAAATTTCCCCTTTCTTAATGTCATGCCATTATTCCTAGTTATAGTCCTTTTAAATATAATCATGTGAAAAAAGAGAATAATTATATAAAGAAATAAATTGGAAGACCCTAATCTACACTAATTAAACAGAATATGGACATAGTGCAGTACCTTTCAGAACTACATTACAATATTCCTTCTCATGTATCATTCATGTGATGCAGAGCTCGATTCTCAAGGCAAAAAGTATTATGAATCCTCAAACTTCCACGCTCAGTCTTTGCTCTGGAGCACCTGTATTTATATCCACTGCAATGTAAATAATATTCAGATTTTCTCACCCCTAATAAATTATATAAAATAAAGAGAAAATCGCAATACTTGGAATATTGTATGGGTTCAAACTTACAAAGGTTGCAATGAAGTTGCTTCAGCTTAAGAAGAAATTTACTCTGTGGGTGGAAAGTATGAAAAACATATCTGAAGTGTACTTAACTCTCAAGTGGCCTCCTGCATGATCCATAAGGGTATTTAGTATGCACCTCAGGAACAGACTGAGCTAATTTTGAGAGTATTACAGATGTTTGTTTTAAAGCCATCAGTTTTGAGGACTTTTTGAACCGATAAATTACCAATCACTTTCGTAATTTGGGGCAGCAGGTTTGGTATATTGGTTATTTTAATAGCTAAACGCCAAATTCTATACCGACTGAAACCCCATGCAAAATTTGTTGATATCAGTGAGGTTGCATGGGCGGCAAGCCACCATAGAATATGTCTGTATATCATCTAATCAGACAATATAAGCCACAAGGCTCAAAAGTTGTGGGTTTCCTAAATGTTTGTGATTAAAAAAAAAAGTTTTGAAAATAATATTCACATACATTGCAGAATCCTTGGCTGAATTCATTTTCAAGCCTGATTCATTTTTAATTGCCAACTATACCCTGATAATCTTTGTTATTAATCAGTCTAGCCTCCCAGTTCTGTTATGTCATGCATATAATTAAAAAGCTACAGATGTTCTTGAAGTAAAATGATCCTATTGTAAGTAATATTTACGAACATGCAACTATAAAAATGTAGTATGGTGAAATTCTGGTATAAGAATCCATATGTATAGCCCTATTTAATCATTATGCCTAAACAAACAGGTCCATTTTAAATAAGATAAAAGTGTGGTTCCCAAATCAGGTGTGAGCATAAAAGAGAAAATCTCCATCTACTAGGCATTTCAATGTGCAGACAGGTCAATTAAGATATAATTGGCACTAAATAGCACCCCCACATGTTGTAACAAACTTTACTTTCAGTTGAACTACACTCATAAGAACATAAGAATGGCCATACTAAGTCAGACCAAAGGTCCATCCAGCCCAGTATTCTGTCTACTGAATGCCAGGTGCCCCAGAGGGAGTGAACCTAACAGGTAATGATCAAGTGATCTCTCTACTGCCATCCAGCTCCACCCTCTGACAGAGGCTAGGGACACCATTCCTTACCCATTCTGGCTAATAGCCATTAATTGACTTAACCTCCAAGAATTCATCCAGTTCTTTTTTAAACCTGTTACAGTCCTAGCCTTCACAACCTCCTCAGGCAAGGAGTTCCACAGGTTGACTGTGCGCTGAGTGAAGAAGAACTTCCTTTTATTTGTTTAAACCTGCTGCCCATTAATTTCATTTGGTAGCCCCTAGTTCTTATATTATGGGAACAAGTAAATAACTTTTCCTTATTCACTTTCTCCACACCACTCATGATTTTATATACCTCTATCATATCCCCTCTTAGTCTCCTCTTTTCCAAGCTGAAAAGTCCTAGCCTTTTTAATCTCTTCTCATATGGGACCCATTCTAAAATCGCTAATCATTTTAGTTGCCCTTTTCTGAACCTTTTCTAATGCCAGTATATCTTTTTTGAGATGAAGGGACCACATCTGTACGCAGTATTCAAGTTGTGGGCATACCATGGATTTATATAAGGGCAATAAGATATTCTCCGTCAGGCATGGAATTCTTTCTTCCTTTGAAAAATGAAAGCAGTCGTTCCTGATGTGATCCTTACAACTGAAAGCTCACTGATTAGTCTAATCAAGAGATATGCACATTAGTACCAATGACAACTGGCTTTTGCAAAGCAATTTTTGATCCATATAGTTGAAAGAGCGCAACAAGTAGTTATCAGTAAAATTGAATTACAACATACATTAAAATGAAAATATACTGCTCAATTCAAATTAATGGGTTAGATTACTCATTAAAGGTAAGTACTTAAAAGGAAAAAAAAAACAGAACATGGATACAGATGAGCAATAGGTAGTACTTAATTACACACCCACTTTAATTATATGGAGAAAGAAGTATGACATATTGAAGAAAAGAATCTACGGTATTTTACTTTTATAGTATATAATGTGAAAATAAGCTTCCCAGAGAATTATGCAAAATAGAACGTTTGAGAACATCCTGGTCTCAGCAGTATCACAGAAATAGTGCCTCCCACACACATAAACCAGGTGCTTTACTCTGTTTGGTCAGACACAAGAGGATAACTTGGGTTCCTTTTGTTTGTATTCTTCATTGAAATACCCTCATCCTCCTTCCTTCTGTGAGAGGCTGTGTGGGAAGAAGAGCTGTGGTAGGAAGACAAAGGAGGCTTTAGAAAACCTTAATATGTTTTCAATATATGTAGTACACTGTAATCCCCCCCCCCCCATTTTGTAACTGATTTTCAGGATCTTTACTGTAATCATTGCATTTTCCCTGCAGAAATAAGGTTCCAATTTAGTCCTTGAAATATGGCTCAAATTATGCTGCCAACCCATATTCATCTCTGCCAAATGTTTACTCATTCTGAATCTGTATGTGTTTAAAGAGCTTGGCCTTTTCTTCTGGGTCCTGCAATCGCATGTCGTATCCTTTTAAATGTGCATTGCATTTTTTTATGTAAAGAGATGTAAATCCTGTACCAGAGAGGCAGTAGCTTTACTTGACTTAAAATTGTAGAACATTTGTTTCCTCAATAACCATCTTAAACAACAGATGGACGATGAAAATTGAACATCCACTTTGTCTCCTGGCTTCTTGCTAACACATAGGCAGCCTTTTGAAGAATTCCCAATGGATATAATACATCAGGTCTAAATAAAAGGGAACTCAGCATGATGATGTAAGTTGCTTAGCTGCTGCAGTTGGGTTGTGTTTTGTTTAGCTTTGACAGAATGGTCCTAGTGGCCACATATTGCATATGTCATTGTTCAGTTACATTCCAGGAGGGTCAGTTAATAAACCAGCAGGTACAGATTGGAGAATAAACAATGCACTGTATTGTTTCACACTTCTGTGGCTTCACAAGAATCATGGGGCTGTCTGAAAGCCTTCAAGTGCTTTGCTTATTTTTCCTGGTATAGCTATGCATGGCGGGTGGAAGCAGGAGGCTGTGCCTATGGCATTGTCATTAGTCTAATAATAGTAATATACTCTGCCAGAGTGGGACCCACCCAAATGAATTGATTTTAAAGAAAGGAACTATTTAAAAAGATGTACTTTCTGTGCAAGAAACCAGAGTATATCGGACTACACTGAAGCATTCATAAATGAATAATTGGGAAAGAAATAGACTTGTTAAATGCATAAATCTCTCATGGCTAAAAGAGGGAAAGCAACAGAAAGGCAATCTGATAATGAATACATTCTCCATGTATTAGACTTAAATATATTTCATAAGAACCCAGGGGACCTCTGAAATTAATACCTCTTTAAGAAATAGATCTGTTAAAAATTATATTTTGCTGCTACCCAGTTATCAGTTTGAAAGGATTTTATATTTTATTTATAACTTAGCATAATAAATGAAGTCAGTACTGACTTAAACTAGGTGCCTGGGGAGGAAGCCTAGATGATGGTGACAGAGTGTACCAACCTCACACTGGTGAGGTGAGGGTTAAGGATTTGCTCTGGACACAGGAAGCCATGCCCCCTCGCCCTTGCTGAGAATGCTCCCGGGGAGGGAGAGTTCTAAAAGGAGCAACTTAGCTCAGTCTGGGTAGACTGAACTGGAGAGCTATTGGGTGCTGCAGTGTCCTGCAGAGAAGTCACTGGGCCTCACAGTCAAGCCACTTCCAGCCCTTCAGTCGTGGGGCTCAGGATGATGAGTCACTACTGATAGGGGAAGACGCTCTGGAGTGTGACCTGTTGGAACAGAAGTAGAGGTAGGAAGTGACCCAGGGAATAGGTGTAAAGGTGCCAGCCCTTCGGCCATGTAATTGGACCATTATTTTGAATGGCCCAGGGTTGGAACCAGGTGGAGCAGGGTAGGCCTGGGTTCCCTCTACCCTTAGTAACTGACTCTCGCTGTCCGTCACAGTTGGCACTGGCTCTAATGGCTAGGCGAGGCAGCCAAAGCCTCTCACTATTGAACAGCAGTGCCACTGACTCTAGCGGCTAGGCAAGGTGACCACTGACTTTCGCCAGTGGGTGACATAGCCTGGAGTATTGCCACTAGGCAATACTACTCTCCTTGGAAACAACACCCCCACCCCAAAAAATGTCATAGAGACATAAAAGGGATTGCTTTTTAGAAGCGCTGAGCACTTGTAATTCCCTTTGGCTTCAGTGAAGTTGTGGATGCTCAGAACATATGAAAATCAAGCCCAGAGAGTCGAATTATGCTATGTTACATACCTGTAAATCTGGAGTAATTCAAGTGCAATCAATGAAAGTGTTGTTTACTTGTGTTACAGTAGCACATAAAGGCCCCAGTTTAGTTCAGATCCCCTTGTGCTAGGTGCTGTGCAAACCCAGATTAAGAAATGGTCCATCTGAAGAGTTTACAGCCTAAATAGATGAGGGTGGGAGAAAAAATGAGGCACAGAGCAGTGAAATGATG